GAAATATTATCAGCAAGATGCACATAAATATCAAAATAAAAGCACCTGTGAAATGTATATTTATACTTTATAGACAGTTTTGTCCGTGGCTTCCAACCTAGGGGCCGGGCCCCCCAAACAGATGGATCTAATGGGGACATGAGACAATAACAATAATAATGATAATCATAACTGTATTATATAGCACCTTTCAAAATAAGAGTTAGAAAGTGCTGTACAAACATAAAAACAAGCAATAAAAGACAGAGAGAGAGGCAACGTGTAAATTAGCAAGTCAAAGATAACAGGGAGAATTACAAATATGTGTATTAAAACAATGTAGACAAAGAAAATAAAACCAAAAAGCAAAAAGAAACCAAAGACAAAAGCATTGAAATCAAGAATTAAAAGCTGCTTTATACAAGTATTTTTTGAGTAGTGTTTTAAACTAGGAAAGAAGAAAAACAAAGATCTGTATCACGAATCTGTCTTTACTTTTTTGTGAGAGATTCTTTTACCTCTTGGGCCTCAAAAAGTTATTGAAATGAAATTGTGAGAGGCTTCGAGGGGAAAATGTGAATGATAACAGTCATGGACATCTGGCTCCCAACCAAACACTCTTTCTAACACTTTATACTTGTTTAATTTCAACGATGTGATGTATTTTATATACTTAAGTTTTGTATTTGTATGTATGTTTAATTTTGCTTACTGTTAAATTTACAGTATATGTAGATAAACAGCCAACAGTACGCTGCTGTTTGGTATAAAAGCTGTGATTCAGTGTTTCACCTGCAGGGGGCAGTCAAACAAACTTAACTCTTTCTTTTCTCCTTGTTTTCATTCTCTTCTCTGTTCTTAGTCCGTCGTTGTTTCCTGTTTCTCCAGCTGCCTGCAGAGCATCAGGTCAGTAAAAAAACAGGGGGTTTTAAACTAACAAATAATGATTAAGTTTCCAGGACATAAACGCAACACGACGTTTTCTTTGTTATTAAGTTTAATGTGATGCTGTGACGAAATGTGACGTTTAAATTTAAAATTGGGGCGTTACACCCCTACTTCCTGATAAACAAACATTTCACATCATGACACGCTGCGGCGGAAGTGATTAAAAAAATGTTTAATTAGATAAACTATGAAATATATGTACACTTACCCAAGTGTCCCACATCCCAAGCTGATCATAATTATTAGATCATTTAGCAGTGTAAGTTGCCTGGAAATACTGAAGCGGAAGCTGTGTATTATTGCACTGTGTTCTCTTATATTATTGTGAGTCCCTTAAATTCATGGTTTTGGCTGATGTTATAAAATAGCAGTGTGCAAATGTGATGAAAAACCGTATAAAAGCAATAAAACAAAGGTTTTCAGTGAAATAAGAACATTTTATGAATGAAAGTTCACTGTTGCCCTTGGAAAAGTCGTTTTAAAAAAAATCTTAACTTAAGATTTTTTGTAAAACAACATTTTGTTCGGATTCCTTGATTCTCACCAAAATGCAATGTGTGCATACTGACGGTTGCATGTTGTGTATGCGTTTCCAGTCTCAAAGCACATTTGCAAAGCCTGTATTAGAATAAAACCAAAATGCACATCACATCGTATAATATAATAATAATAAACTTTATTTTTATAGCATTTTCAAGTTACAAGGTGCTTTACAGAAAAACAGCATGTCAGGTCGACATGTCCTCACTGCCGTTTTATATGATATAAAAACTTAGACTCTTACATTTTGACAAAAAATGACACAAGTGTCTTTAATAGGGCTGTGCAGTCCTTATCAGTCTCTTGCTTTTCTAAAGTCTTAAGAGTCTCTTACCGTCTCCGTCTCTCTGTCCAGTTTCCTCCAGCTACGATGGCTCAGGCCCCTCTCGGTGTAGACCCAGTCCAGTTCAGCTGCTCCATCTGTCTGGAGCTCCTCAAAGAATCCAGTCACTATCCCGTGCGGCCACAGCTACTGCATGCGCTGCCTGACTGACTACTGGGACCGTCAGCCGGTCTGCAGTTGTCCTCAGTGCAGAGCCAGCTTCAGTCCCAGACCCGCCCTGGGCAGGAACAACCTGCTGGTGGAGATGCTGCAGAGTCTCAGTGCTGTCAAACTAAATAAGGGCCCCTCAGCTCTCCTCTGTATGATGAGGGTGGCTTTGAGGGGACACAGGCTTTGTGCACGCCACCTTTGACGTGTCTCAGTTCATCCTGAGAGACTCATGGAGAGGTGAGGAGTTGGCACTAACCTTCTTTACCATTGTTTTCTCTTTAGCTTTTAACAAAGTATTTTACATGAACACATTGTCATGTCTCTGTTGTCAGAGGCTTCTGGGGAAACACGGAGACGTCTCACACAGCAAATCCAAAAGACAGGGAGCTGGAACATCAGCTGCTGAAACAAACTCTTCAGTCCTTTTCTGTGAGTAGACGAGACGCTGAATGTCACAGTGCAAGTAACTTCACTTTAACTGCTGCCTGTGCTGCTTTTGCACGTTCAACCTCAGCGAAGCAGTACAGTACAAATGCACTGTTCATGTTTATTCATCACCAATCTATGATCTCTCTCTTTTTTTCGATCATAGGTTTGCATTTTTTCCTGATCAGCAGTGGAGGAATTGTACAAAGAATCATTACAACAATGTAAAGATTCCCTTCTGTAAAAGTCCTGCACTCAAAATCATCCTAAAGTAAGAGCATGGAAATATTATCAGCAAGATGCACATAAAATATCAAAATAAAAGCACCTGTGAAATGTATATTTATACTTTATAGACAGTTTTGTCCGGTGGCTTCCAACCTAGGGGCCGGGCCCCTCCAAACAGATGGATCTAATGGGGACATGAGACAATAACAATAATAATGATAATCATAACTATGTATATAGCACCTTTCAAAATAGAGTTAGAAAGTGCTGTACAAACATAAAAACAACAATAAAAGACAGAGAAGAGAGGCAACGTGTAAATTAGCAAGTCAAGTATAACAGGGAGAATTACAAATATGTGCATTAAAACAATGTAGACAAAGAAAATAAAACCAAAAGCAAAAAGAAACCAAAGACAAAAGCATTGAAATCAAGAATTAAAAGCTGCTTTATACAAGTATTTTTTGAGTAGTGTTTTAAGCTAGGAAAGAAGAAAAACAAAGATCTGTAACACGAATCTGTCTTAACTTTTTTGTGAGAGATTCTTTTACCTCTTTGGGCCTCAAAAAGTTATTGAAATGAAATTGTGAGAGGCTTCGAGGGGAAATGTGTCTGCTTGAATGAATAACAGTTCATGGACATCTGGCTCCCAACCAAACACTCTTTCTAACACTTTATACTTGTTTAATTTCAACGATGTGATGTATTTTATATACTTAAGTTTTGTATTTGTATGTATGTTTAATTTTGCTTACTGTTAAATTTACAGTATATGTAAGATAAACAGCCAACAGTACGCTGCTGTTTGGTATAAAAGCTGTGATTCAGTGTTTCACCTGCAGGGGGCAGTCAAACAAACTTAACTCTTTCTTTTCTCCCTTGTTTTCATTCTCTTCTCTGTTCTTAGTCCGTCGTTGTTTCCTGTTTCTCCAGCTGCCTGCAGAGCATCAGGTCAGTAAAAAAACAGGGGGTTTTAAACTAACAAATAATTTGATTAAGTTTCCAGGACAGTAAACGCAACACGACGTTTTCTTTGTTATAAGTTTAATGTGATGCTGTGACGAAATGTGACGTTTAAATTTAAAATTGGGGCGTTACACCCCTACTTCCTGATAAACAAACATTTCACATCATGACACGCTGCGGCGGAAGTGATTAAAAAATGTTTAAATTAGATAAACTATGAAATATATGTACACTTACCCAAGTGTCCCACATCCCAAGCTGATCATAATTATTAGATCATTTAGCAGTGTAAGTTGCCTGGAAATACTGAAGCGGAAGCTGTGTATTATTGCACTGTGTTCTCTTATATTATTGTGAGTCCCCTTAAATTCATGGTTTTGGCTGATGTTATTAAAATAGCAGTGTGCAAATGTGATGAAAAACCGTATAAAAGCAATAAAACAAAGGTTTTCAGTGAAATAAGAACATTTTATGAATGAAAGTTCACTGTTGCCCTTGGAAAAGTCGTTTTAAAAAAAATCTTAACTTAAGATTTTTTGTAAAACAACATTTTGTTCGGATTCCTTGATTCTCACCAAAATGCAATGTGTGCATACTGACGGTTGCATGTTGTGTATGCGTTTCCAGTCTCAAAGCACATTTGCAAAGCCTGTATTAGAATAAAACCAAAATGCACATCACATCGTATAATATAATAATAAACTTTATTTTTATAGCATTTTCAAGTTACAAGGTGCTTTACAGAAAAACAGCATGTCAGGTCGACATGTCCTCACTGCCGTTTTATATGATATAAAAACTTAGACTCTTACATTTTGACAAAAAATGCACACAAGTGTCTTTAATAGGGCTGTGCAGTCCTTATCAGTCTCTTGCTTTTCTAAAGTCTTAAGAGTCTCTTACCGTCCGTCTCTCTGTCCAGTTTCCTCCAGCTACGATGGCTCAGGCCCCTCTCGGTGTAGACCCAGTCCAGTTCAGCTGCTCCATCTGTCTGGAGCTCCTCAAAGATCCAGTCACTATCCCGTGCGGCCACAGCTACTGCATGCGCTGCCTGACTGACTACTGGGACCGTCAGCCGGTCTGCAGTTGTCCTCAGTGCAGAGCCAGCTTCAGTCCCAGACCCGCCCTGGGCAGGAACAACCTGCTGGTGGAGATGCTGCAGAGTCTCAGTGCTGTCAAACTAAATAAGGGCCCCTCAGCTGCTCCTCTGTATGATGAGGGTGGCTTTGAGGGGGACACAGGCTTTGTGCACGCCACCTTTGACGTGTCTTCAGTTCATCCTGAGAGGACTCATGGAGAGGTGAGGAGTTGGCACTAACCTTCTTTACCATTGTTTTCTCTTTAGCTTTTAACAAAGTATTTTACATGAACACATTGTCATGTCTCTGTGTCAGAGGCTTCTGGGGGAAACACGGAGACGTCTCACACAGCAAATCAAAGACAGGGAGCTGGAACATCAGCTGCTGAAACAAACTCTTCAGTCCTTTTCTGTGAGTAGACGAGACGCTGAATGTCACAGTGCAAGTAACTTCACTTTAACTGCTGCCTGTGCTGCTTTTGCACGTTCAACCTCAGCGAAGCAGTACAGTACAAATGCACTGTTCATGTTTATTCATCACAATCTTTATGTAATGCCACCATAGGTGATGTCACCATGACCCGCCTTCCCTTGGTCTTTCTGTCAGTGTGTGTTCAGCTGAATCATTATGAACAAAACAAAAGTTCATGTTCACACCAAAACTTCACCTTCAGATACAGAGTAACTGTTTGCAGCAGCACGGTGCAGACATTTGCATATGAATCAGAATCAGAAACACTTTAATGATCCCCACAGGGAAATTGTTTCATTACAATTGCTCAACACTCAGTTAGAAAAAAGTTGTATATACTTAAAAATTAAAAACTACTGTAAAATAGAATCATACTATATACAGTGAGATCCAAAAGTCTGAGACCACATTGAAATCAGAAAGTCTGAGGAATTCAGAAACATTTAAGAGTCCTCACTGTTTCTAGGTCAGTAATTAAGAAGCTACAGTTATCAGATATAATAATGTACTGCTGAAATGCCTCAGTGACTAAAGGGTACTGTCTTTTTGATTTAAAAATATAAAATAAAAATTGTACACAGTTGATACATTTATACTATTTTTTTTCAATCACTTTATTTTTTAGTCTATGAAATGTCAAAATAATGACTAATGCTCATCACAAGTTACTCAAAGTGATTTCTTTAAAACTGAAATCAACACTCAGCTGACATCAGTGCTGAGGAACAACTCCTCAAATTCATGTAACCATCACATTTTTGCTATTTTAAGATGATTAGTGAAATTAAGTTAAGTTAAATGACTAATCAGCACAAAAGAGTGTAATGCGCCAGTCAACTCTATCACTTATATTAAAATTGACATTATTATCATATCTATGCATTTTACATATTGCTTAATCAGGGTAAACTTGAATCACAATATAAAAACCATGATGAAAACAGCTTTCATATTCTTTACCTGGCACAGATATACTGAGTAACACATGAGCGTGTTGGTGTTTGTTTCCTCAGCGTCTGGCCAAAGCGGCGGTGAAGGACAGCAGCAGGATCTTCTCAGAGCTGCTGGAGTTTGTGGAGCGGCGCCGTGTCGAGATGAAGGAGCTCATCAGAGCTCAGGAAAAGGCTGAAGTGACTCGAGCTGAGAACCAGCTGCATCGTCTGGAGCAGCAGATCTCAGATCTGAGGAGGAGAGACGTCGAGCTGGAGAGGCTTTCACACAGCCAGGACCAACACCTGATCACACAGGTGAGTAATATGCAATATTTCATATTAACAGTTAAGAAACTGACTTGTATGTGAGTTCAGTGCTGATTGCTGGGTCTGTGTCTTCACCTGCAGATGTGTCAGTCTTACTGCAGTCCAGTCCCTACAGGAGGAAGCGGCTCTCTAACGGTCAGTCCACATGTTTCCTTCGGGCCTGTGAGGAGAGCCGTCTCAGACCTGAAAGAGCAACTACAGACTCTGTATCTCAGAGAATTCCCAAGTGTCACCTCTGCAGGTGTGTTACATGCATCTTGCTTTTAGTTTAATATTAACTTATTATATCAGGATGAACATTTGTATTCAGTCTGTGTAAGTGCTGACAATTGATGTCCTGTTTTCACAGTGAAAACTGTGAGCATCCTGCAGATAGAGAAGGCCAACAAAGGTAAGTGTATCTTACATCACCAGTTGTGTTTCTTCAGTATTATATAAAATGGCTGATATACAATCAGTGACCAGAAAAAAAAACCCTTCGCTCTTTAAAGCTGCAATAACTGGTGTCATTTCATTTCTGATAAAAATTGTAGAGTCCACATCTCAGCAAAGAGCAATGTGCAAATTATTCAAGTAGAAATTTAAAATGCAAATGTCATATGTCTTGTAAGACTTGACTTTGATTAAGTCTCCATATAGTATAAGGGTAGATATCCATGTGTTGCTTGATTATGAAGCAGGTCTAGGTTCTATATTAATACTGTGAAAGTATCAAAGCCTCAGTCGTCAGAGAAATGCACACAGCCTGTATTCAGAAACTGAGCCTTAAAACCAGCCGTCAGGACTTCTGTAACTTTGATGTCACAACAAAGCAGTCACTCCTCTCAGCCATGCCCCAAGCCCTGCCCTAAATCTGCTATAGTTTTATTCAGAAGAGAGGATCAGAGCCTCCTCTCTTCTGATTGGCTCACTGACCTGTTGTTACTAGAGCTCCAGAGAGAAGCCTGAGAGAGGAGATGTAAAACTACACTGAGACGTTTTTTGGTTCTTAAAACCATAAATATATCTTCTTATGATCAACACTTCAAATAAAGCACAGGAAGAGTGTCAAATGTGGGACCTTTAACACTGAATTTACGTTCTAGAAACTCAAACTCCAACTAAACTGTCACTGTTGATGGGTGGATGCTCCTTCCTTCCACTGCTATGCTCATGTTTATCTCTAAGGCGCTCAGTTGGATTGGTTGGGTAATGATGATGTCATCTCACCTCCATGATTCCTGACAGGGAGAATAATGTGGTTGAAAGAACCTGTTCCCATGGTGACGCACAAAGCTCATGAATTGGTAAACCTAGTTTGCCCCAGTATTATTAGGTATGTTCTTACAGTCAGGGCACACATTTGCATCTTTTAATGAACCCAGGCTAAAGCACGGTGTGTTAACTATAGTGGCACTGTAAAACTGTCATACTGTGGACTGGTGGGGGCGCTTCTCCCACACACTGTTGCAGTTGTTGTGAAATTGTGTCTCTTCCTGGCACCTTCTTTAGGCTTTAAGCTCATTGTGCAAATGTACAATAGTTGCTGTTGCAGCACAACACAACATAGCTTGTATATTCAGCCATGGTTCATTTTTATTTATGACAGAGAAAATGTGCCTCACACAGCATAGTTTCATGATTTCTTTTTTCCCCCCTTTCCTTTCACTCATGCTGCAGTGAAGCCTGTTGGTTCTGCACACGTCCCTGCTTTGGACAACAGGAATGATCTCCTTCAGTGTGAGTAGCACCAGTCCTGTCTATCTGTCTAAACCAGCACTCTAACTATCCAGTCCTCTTGAAGCCCGTCTGTGTGTTCTTTTCCTTCGCAGACTTCAGTCCGCTGTCTCTGGACCCTTTCACCGCACACAGGGAGCTTTCTCTGACTGAGGGGAACCGTGTGGTTAGTCGAACCGGAGAGTATCACACCTACCCAGACCACCCTGATCGCTTTGACACCTGGGGCCAAGTCCTGTGCCGTGAGGGACTGCAGGGCCGCAGCTACTGGGAGGCCGAGTGGGACGGACAACAGGTGGAACTGGGGCTCACCTACGAGAGCATCAGAAGAAAGGTAGTCTGGGAATTCGTAGTCTTGTAATCATGTAATCTCGGCATCATTGAAAATGAGGGTCACCCCTCAGTGTGTCACAGAGAAAATAAATAAAATTGATGATGATGAAATCAGGTTTAATTTGGTCTTGTTATGTGTCATCAGGGATCATCCAATGACTGCAGGCTGGGACACAACTCCCTCTCATGGAGTCTTCGCTGCAGCCCCTCCTCCTTCACCTTCTGCCATGGAAGTGAGGCGCAGCCGGTGGCGGTTGTCTCCGGCTCGGCTTCCCGCAGGATTGGGGTGTTTCTGGACCACGATGTGGGGCTGCTCTGCTTCTACATGGTGACGCCCAAAGGAGTCCACCTCCTGCACATGGTGAAGAGCTGCTTCACCCAGCCTCTGTACCCGGCAGTGTGGCTCGGAGCCAAATCCACCATCACCTTCTGCACCGTGGACTGATGGGAGCACAGGCTTCAAGACATCAACACTCTGTATGGTCAGTTATGCTTTCTTCAGCTTTTAATGTTATACATATTATATGTTAAACTGACTCAGGTACTGACTAGAGCCCAACTGATTTATCAGCTGCCTATGAAATCATTATTGGTAAAATGACCAAATAATACACTTGCACAGAAATTCATGTTCTGAAATGGCCTTTTCAATATCTCTCATGTAGCTTGCATCATATAGATAGAAATAAGAGAGGGCAGGTAAAAGAATTGTCCGTGCTACATTTAATCTTTAATATACATAAAACTTGTTTATTGTAGTTCTGATTTTTATACTTGAACCTTTTAGTTATTTCTACTTTAATATATTTTTGTTGTATTATATGTTTATAGTTAAAAAAAAAAAAAGAAAAAACCCCAAGATTAAATATTGGTTTATTTTGGCCAATATTTGTTAATCAGTTAGGCTCTATTATTAAAAACTATATATGCTGTATATGAATATTATAACTGTATAACACTGTCACCATGTAATACTTGATACCTCATTGACTGCACTGCCCTTTAACTGGGATCAGAGACGTGTTTTCCTGTGAAGCAAAACAAACAGCTGAGTTTGTCTCTGACTCATGAGGCCTCACTAACAGGCTCTCAACTAGTTCGACAACATTTATTCTCCGACACTATTTGGCATCAGTTATCTGGGCTAACTGAACCTAACATTGGCTGTCCTGAATAACCTGTACTACAAAGCTGGCTCAGTTAACCCTGGGTTTACCTGTCCAGTTACAAGCGTGTTCATGTGAAAAAGGCGGAGTTGTTAATTATAAGCAACATTGTCTGAACCATGAATGAAGTTAATATGAGAAGAAACGCTGATACTTGCCGTTAAGTTTGGTTATAACCATGTTCAAAAGTGAAAGTCAACAAGGTGAGATGTAAACAATATGATCACATAAAAAATATTTCCATGTCTACTGCTGCTGAGAGGAGAGAAAGAAAAGAGACGTAGTTGATGTCAGATGAGTCAGACTGACTGAAATGTTCATTTATAATATTTGTATAGTTTAGTTTTTATTCCAGTTGTGGTCAGTTTTACACTGGTCCCACTGCTCCGGTGCAGGTTAACTTCAGAGTTCAGCATAAGTTCCCATGGTGATTTACCCCGGTAGCAAGTGAACCACTGTCGTAGGACTGAAAACCCAGAGTTAAACCTGAAGTTACCTCGAATCCTGCTTCGTAGTACAGGTTTCGGGTCATTGTTTTTGGAAAGAAATGTTGCTAAAGCTTAAGCACCACAAACAAAAACCAAAACAGTGGTAGGTGAGAAAATGCTTTTGTCACTTTGGTGAACTGACTCTATATATAACCTGGGGTAAGAACACACACAGTAGCTTCAGTGCTAGAGTTGGATTTTATTATTATTATTAACCGTTGACATAATCAGCAGAGAAACAAGGCGTGACGAAAGACAGAAACAGACACACTAGGATCAGATCTTGTTAAAGGCTGCTACATCGACACTCTGGACCTGAAACAGAGCAAAAAGGTAAGACTTGAGCTTAGAGACTGCAAACAAGATTTCAAATGTAACAGTATTTATAATGCACACGGTGAAATCAGATTTATCCTGAAAAGCTGTTGCTGTATTGTACTATAATATTTCATCTTTTGTTTTTGCTTCATTGGCCTGTGAAGCAGATTCACTGACATGTAATAGTTGCCAGTTAAATAGGTACATCTGGCTTAAAGTGATAATTCAGGTTATTTAACGTGGGGTTGTGAGAGGTAGTTATCTATATTCAGTGTATTCAGATGCACTACCAGTTTAGAGAAGCAGCAGGAGTACCGACACAGCAGCTGAGTGATGTGCTGCTGTGGACGGGGTCATCTGTAAAAATGTGTTTTAGCCACTTTGAAAAATGGCCACAGAGACCTTTAATGTCAGTAGGAGTTAACACTTTATTTGGAATATTTTCTGAATTGAACTACCGTATTTCTACGCTCAAGCGCACCTACAGAACATGCTGTAGATAAGTGGTGAATATATTCAAAAGAAAGTGCACACTTCAACTGATATTGGAATTTTATCAAAGTGGCTAAAACATGTTTTTGCAGATGGCCCTGTCCACAGCAGCACTTTGTTATTTTGAAGGCTTTTGTATAACACAATTCAAAAGCACCACAAACAACATCCTCCTAAAAGAAAGTTGAATGAACTCATCCCAAATGCAAAAAAAACTTAACCTTTATAGAAAAGTACCATTTCATGCTGTACTATTGTCTTAAACTGTACAAGTTTCAGCTAGGTGTACCTTAAACTGGCAACTGAAATTTTTTTTTTTTTTTACCGGTCTGGTTATTTATTTGGTTGGTGTCTTTAAATATTACCCATCAGAATAAAAAGCAAGTTCACAAAGAGCCTTTGAGTTTGTGAGTTTTAAGTCTATGAGTGTGGAGCTGCATCATGTACAGTGGTCACAGTGAGGAGCAGTACTGGGTTTGTCTAATTGAATTGGTAAATCTGTTTGCAGTCAACCTGATGTCTCACAGTTTTTGCAATTATTTCACTCAGATATTAAGGAAGTTTCTGTTGCTCACTTCACGTCTGTTACTGTGTGTGACTTTATAGAAAACACTGAACTGTACTTACATAGTCTTCAAACTTGGTGATCTCCTCCTCAAGCAAGTCTGTTCCCACCTTGTCGTCCTCCACCACACATGCAATCTGGAGCTTCTTGATGCCGTAACCCACAGGAACCAGCTTGGATGTGCCCCATAACAGACCGTCAGCCTGAACTGAGCGCACACACTCCTCCAGCTTCGCCATGTCTGTTTCATCATCCCACTGAAAAACACAGGAGGGGGACGGTGATAAAAGACCGGATTAATAGTGGACAATCAGTTGAAGAGATTTCATTGTGCATGTTTTTTTTCTCTTTATAGTTTTAAGCTCCTGTGGGAGATGTCAAATTAGGACAGGCTTACAGGTTTGACATCCAATAAGATGGAGGACTTGGCGATGATGGTGGGTTTCTTGGCCTTCTTCTCTGTGTACTCTTTCAATCTCTGCTCTTTCAGTTTATCTGCCTCTTCGTCTTCATCACTACCAAACAGATCAATGTCATCGTCGTCGTCCTCCTCCTCCTCCTCCTTAACTGGGGCACTGGTTTTCTGCTGGACGGTAGTGCCCTGAGAGGAGAAACCTTGATTACTCATACATGCTACTAAAACAAAAGCAAACGATTACTGAACTGACAGAAACTTTCGGTAGAAACTCACATTTGTGTAAGGGACAGAATGGGCGGGAGCCGAGGTCACAGCTGCAGGAGATTTCTCCAGAACCGCTACCCGACATTCCAGTTTGGAAAGCGCTGCCCTTAAGTTATCCACCACTAAAGAAACAAGACCAGTGTCAATGAGTCTTATATATAAACTAGGCTAGGTCAAAACCTTGTATGTGGCTGGACCTCCTACTTATAAACACCCAGAGAGGTAGTTAAGAGAGACGGACTCTTTTTTTAAAGTTATTTTTTCAGGCTTTTGCCTTTATTACAGCCATAGTGCGATAGATAGACAGGAAGACTGGAGAGAAAGAGGATGACACGCAGCAAAAGGGATCAGGGGAAATTCGCAATTATAGGGCTGGCCCCACTGTTGAAGTCCATCCAAAAATGTCATAGGATAGTAAGTCATTAGACATCATAAGTTATAAAAATGTCATAGTATACTATGTCATAAAAATGTCATGGTATACTAAGTGTGATGACCCCTCCACCAGGGCACTAGGTGTCCCTATTTCTTTTTTTTGCTCTTCTTTCAGGCACTGAATGCAGGGATTCGGATCAGCCTGATGTGCTACACCTGGGCCAGACCTTCTCAAATATGAGGATTATAGCTTTTCTCTATTTCATATACATTTAAAATAAATCTCTAAGTTCTTCGTATAAAATAAGCGGTTTGGGCTCTGCTTAATTCTGAAGACCATTTGTCATTCTTTACATGGACAGACCGATACAGCAAACATAAATTAATTGATTAGGGCCTCAAGAAATTATGCAACAAATATGATCATTTATCTTCCTTTTTCAGTGAGTCCACTGTTTAGTCTGTAAAATATGAACAACAGTTTGAAAAAACTGATAGTTTACATTGATAAGACAGGGAAAAGCTGCAAAGCCTCATATTGGAGAAGCTGCTATCCACAATGTTTTCAGTCATTTATAATTATAATCATGTCATCACTGTATTTGATGCTTACAATTTGCAAGTAGCAGATCTAGTAATATCCACACACTGTCTATGGACACTAAAATTTGCCTTCACACACATAAAGAAAACAAAATGCATGAATATTTGATCAAAGACGACAAACAAACTGACCTTTGTGTAAGCTTTGGTTCTCCAGCTCTAGGCTCTTGATGCGAGAGATGATTTCTCCTTGATCAGCGGCGCTGCTGCTGCTGGTGCTCTGCACAATGAAGACACAAGAGAGGAAGAACAGTTTAGTGAGAGCAACAGCTAATGAACAAACCAGCACCTTCGTCAAACCCAGGACTGTGACCACAGCACACAACACACAGCCAGTGTCAACAGCACCTATAACCAGCAGAATTACAGGAGCTGATTGAAATATAAAGGTGATAAGCAGCTACTTGACTAAAGGTTGAACTCTAATGAACTCAAACTGGAGCGTGGGTGTCAGCAAGGTCCACTGACAAAGCAGTTGGCAGCAGCCGTGCTTCCAGTGACACACAAACCTCGGTGGCACTTACAAGCTGGGAGTGTTGGCTTATGGGAGGTTGACCAGTTCCTCTCTTACACAGTGTAGTCTTCAGCTGGGGGAGGGTAGGAGGAGTACGAGGAGCAGGAAGAGGAGGAGGGGATTTCAGGTTTGAAGGAAGAGGGAAAAATCCAGGAAAAGAACTGGATGAGGTACAAGCTGAAGGAGAGCTACTCAGGAGTGTACATAACGGAAACAGGGAACAACATAGAGCTGGGAGGTTATGGAAAAACATCAGACTAAAAGCAGATGTTTACACACACTAAATCACAGTTATGTGTCTTAAAGCAGGAACCTTTGTATGGCTTGAGCTGAATAGACAGCTTATTCTTTCAGGAAATCAACATGAAAAACTTTACAATATTGTAACCAATCAGCGATAAGAGAACGACAGCTTTATTCTAATAAAACAAGATAAATTCTGTCAAGCATATCAAAGCATGTACAGATTACATGTTCAACATACCACAGGTTTTCTGAGTGTTAACTACAGAAACACTCTTATCAGCTTTTATCCAACTATGAAAGGTCAAAGTAGAAAAAAGGACATGGTTTAAACTGAAGAATGTCAAAATGACACGTAGCACCAACAACGCATACTGTACAGGCCAAGATTACCTGACAGCAAATATTTACACCTGTCTGTGAGTAAGGACCACAACTTGGTCACTAGAAATAAAATGATGTTTTCACTGTGTTATCGTTTATATGTTTATAATATTTCCACATGACCTTGAAGGTGTGAAATAGTTTGACACATTATATTAATAATAAATGTAAACTTAAAACCACAGGTACTGACTCCCAGATTCACACTGACATATGTAACCGGCGTTTCCCTGGTTGCAATTCATCTTCCCCGACTAACAGTGTGGCTGTAGGACCTTCACAAAATACACATTATTCACATTATTTTGGACGTTTTTGGTGCTGTACATAAAATGGGGTCTGTATATGACTGCAATGAGTGGAAAACATGAGATAAGAGGCAGATATTGCTCATAACTTCAGCTCAGATACAAGACAAACAATTATACTTACTCCTGCAAGAGATTTCTGGATGTTTTCTCGGGCCCGTGCAATGTCTTGCAAAATGGTGTTAGCTCCAACATCCTTTAAGAAAATGAACAGAAGTCAATGTTGATTCATCCTTTACTATGTAAAGTTTCAGTATTTATATCTACAGATTCAATGAAAAATGTGTCTTTGTAGCTACACTACCAAACACCTCAGGTTTTACAGTTTTTATAGAAAATTACAGTTTAATGCCTCAGTTTAATTTGAAATTAAAGCAAAACACAAATAAAGACTTGAAGAAAAGACAACTTTATCTCAATATTTGACCAATTCAACAATTGAACACACAACCATTCAAGATTATTCACTGGACTTGTTTAACTGTTTTAATTTCAATATAAAGTGGAAAATTGGGATGTTCCAAAAGCTTTGACTGGTAGTGTATATTATTTCTTTTCTTTTTTTGTTTGTCCTCTCACTCCGCATCTCATCACATGATTTTTGTGTGCAGTGTGGATAAACTGCAACAAGATTTAAAAATCAAAACAACTTTGTCCAAGTCTGGCAAATTCAATATCAATCTCTTTGTATCTACAAACATGTCAGGTCATGTAATAGTGGTGTAAAAAAATAAACAATTAACTAAACTTTAATAATAATTTTATATTTAATACTGCTTGTACATTCCGAAAATATACACAAGAAGAAGACAAGAGTGTGATGGTCAAATGGTTGGAGCCATCTTTGTTCAGTTCACGTTCCCCTCATATCCTGATATTAGTATCAGCACTTCTTGAGAGGATATCGTAGGAATGACAACTTAAAGACAAACTCTAGTTCTAAGGTAACGTGGGTACCTGTGTTGGTTGTGAGGGGCCGTTCATGCGCTCATAGAAGCGTCTCTCTGCCTCGTCATAGCGAGGTTTGTCGAACCAGATCTTCTCCTGGGCCAGAAAGTCGACGGCGCTCATGTTGCTACAGTGGAGAGAGTGAGGAAGGACAAGAGAGGGATGTATGAACAAGACACAGCAGGTTAGGGAAAGATAAAAGACAAATCTGTTATGACTAATTACAAAAAATTCTACTTAAAAATCACCTGATGTGATCTATATTCACAATGTTAAAATCATTAGCTGTAAAATGCTTATTGTATCTATTCTTTTATCTACACTCCCCACAAACAGACGATCCCAACACAACTATACAAAAGAAACCTTAAATGAAGCAAAGTTGGCAAAACGCAACAATGGTTCATAAAAACAGTCATTCAGAAAAATTAAAAACATACCACAGAGAGTAAAGAATGAATGAACCAAGACAAATGTTAAAACAAAAGCTGAAGGTGAAAAAAAACAAAAAAGAAAAACAAAAAAACTCACGCATTCAATAAAAAGGGAAACACATGATGGCATAAAGAGAAAAACAATGTAAGATGAACTGAAACATCTGGAGCGGCTCCATTCTCCCAGTTTGGTCATACTTGTCCCTCAGTGGGGCGGTGGAGGCAACTGGTGAGGCCTCAGCCTCTGGCCTGCGACCTTTCTTCACCACCACAGCTTTATTCCCACTGTATCCATGGAAACGGCTCTCTGCAGCATCATAACGCCACTTGTCCAGCCACACCCGCTCGCTGTCTGGGTGAAGGAGGTAACGGACTCCTGCCCCCGACGAGGCTTCCTTCTCGGGGACCTCAGCTGGCTCCTCTTCTTCTTGGATCGGGTGCAGAGCGTGAAAGACTTCGGCTTTACCTTCCTTAACCACCCGTTTTTCCTCCACCACCGCCTCTTCATTGTCTTCTTCCTCCTCCTCCTCTTCCACAAGGCTTTGAGGATGGTCGCTACTTCTGGATGTGGAGGTGCAGCTGGAGCGCTTGGAGGAATTGTTGCCATATAGTTTCTGATAAAAGGCGGCTTCCGCACGGTCATACAGCGGTTTCTCCAGCCACACATCCCTAAGCAACTCCACTGGGATGCGAGGCAATCCGTTGATCGACTGTCGATTGGTTGGTGTGACGGCTGCCTGCTGGATCACAGGGGTCGCAGGAGTCGGAACTAGAGACTGATATCCTTCATCAGGAGTTCTGGGTGCAATGGAGCGGTTAGGTGGGGATGGGAGGTTCAGAGAGTTTGGAATGGACGGCTGCATGGACGCTTCGACAAAGCGGCGTTCTGCTTGGTCAAAGGTTGCCTTGTTCACCCACACTGACTGGACAACATGGTGACAAGCCACCTGATCGCCATGGTGGCAAGCCAGTCCTGAGACTGAAGATGGAGCGGATGGAGAGTTTGAGTGTTTCCCTCGTGCCGGAGGTGACCGTTTTGATTGGGTGGTCCCATTGGAAGAGTTCGCCAACCAGCACTGGTAGAGGCTCTCGGCTCGCTCATAGCTGCTGCGTTCAAACCACACATTAGCACACTCCGACCGTAGACCCATCAGACCAGCACGGGGGTCAGATGGCTGGCTCGGCTTTTTGGCGGGCTTCCCTTCAGTCTTGGTCTTACTGTCTACCTTCTCTTCAGGGCGGCTCTCAGGATTAGATGAACGTTTCTTGCGGCGTCGGCTTTTCCCGCTACGCTTTCCATCTCCATTCAAGCTACCACTCTCTGGGGAGGATGATGCCGTCTCTCCGTTTCTCTGGCCTGATTCAGTCTTGTTCCTACATCCCAGTGCTGCGTTCGCGGACCGGTCCACCTGACAGTGGTTGGGATCATGCTCTGACTGATCGGCTGCAGAGCACTGGGGGATCTTCTTAGACATCATCTTTGATCCGTTGCAGGAAAAAATAACAAAAAAAGGAGAACAACAAGTACAGGCTTTTGGATTATTTAGAGAGATGCAGGAAGGTTTACAGACACAAAGGGATTGATCTATTTGACTCAGCACTACAGGCACTAACTTTTACAGAATAGATACAGAATACAGTCTACATATCAGTCCCACAAAACACAAAAAGCATGCAAAAATAAAAGAAATCCATGCAGATGAAATAAAATGTTTGGTGTATTACTCTACTTGTTTGTTATTTGTCAAGAGTAAGTTTCATCCAGAATATCATACACATCAGCCATTGAGTTAGTCTTACCAGTGCTAGGAGAGAAAAATTTGGTACACTCTCAAAAGTACAAGTAAGTATGGGAAAACTCTGGCTTTCATAGACTTTAGTCTAAATGCCAGTTGGAGATGAATGAAGCCAAAAGTGTAAAATGCCAGTCCCAAGTTGCAGCTTTTCCTGCTGCCTAAGTGGATTCTATGAACTATTTAGACTTACAAGTAAGTGCTTGTAAAACCCAACACTGCTTGTGAAGACGTGACTCGGGTTTTCGTAAAATACAATTTTCTTCTTTTCTTTTTTGCTTTAAAAAAAAAAAAAACAGCAGTCTAGCTTCCCTATTGATATTATGCTTAATCTGCAAAGTTAAATATCAAGAGCATATTAAATGGATGTCTGTGTATAGCTGTGTTTCAGTATTATGTTTCCATAACATGCTTTTACAGAGGAGAAGATCCTTAACATTATGTTAACCAAGGCCCTGTTCTGACCTGACATTAACATGGGTCTCGGGTGATCTGACCACAAGTGGACAGCTCCAAGTACAGGTGTGAATGCACCCAAGACACATCAAGGACGGCCACATTGGGTGGTGGTCTGGGCTGCATATGGCCTCGTCTTTAAGGAGAGTGAATGCAAATGTGTCGTGGGCAATATTGAGGGTTTGCCTACTCAACTGACGTTAACGATTTTTCTTTTCTTTTTTTCTTTTTTTTACCATTTCAAACCTTATTTCATTGCCCCTTATTGCACTGATTAAGCCCCTCCTTGACCCAAATGTCACAGACTGGCTAAAAACAACATACATGTTTATTTGCATGTAGAGCGGGGAAATGAGATCCGATCATAAGTGGTCACTCGAGACACATGTGGAGATGCATTTTAATGCCAGGTGTGGACTGAGTGACGTACTTAGGAGTCCACTTGTGATTGGAATCACCCAAACACATTTTAATGCCAGGTCTGAATAGGACCTGAGAGAGCTTTGATTATTCATGACATCCTGCTGCAGGCACACTGATGATGATAATCAGTGGCTTTTGAACAAAACAAATTAGAAGACCTTGCCTGTCTAAAGTAGAACTATTTTCCCATAGCTCTATAATAAATTCGCCACAGTAAATAGAGTTATTTTAAAGTGTTAAAAATGAGTTGCAAGAGTCGACCAATCTTGACAAAATGACATGAAAGCATGCAATAAAAGAAAAGGGTGTGATGAGTCTAAGGCAATATATTAAAGATAATGAAATTAAATAAATCACAAGCTGACACTGATGGATCACGGACATGTTTGTGCATGCAAACCAACTGTTTCAATAAGTACTGAGATTCTCTATTAACAAATCACAAAAAGCAAGCCATGCAGTTTTTATGAGGTTGCAGTATTGTGCCGCAAAACCGGAAATGCATTCCCTTAACGTTTCATCATGTTAGTAATTTTGATCCAACACTAATACACCACTGAAATTAATTTGGTTTTGGGAACTCATTTCCTACTTAATGTTTCTTTATTAAAAAAGTGGTAGATGAAATGTATTCAAGCTCTTAGCTCACCTTCTGTGGTAAAGTTGCTGAGCTCAAGCTAGTATCAAAGTCAAATGCTCAAAATGTTCTTTTCATCCAGTTTACCGCAAGCCATTGAAAAAGAAATTTAACAATCACCATCTTGCAAAACATTGAAACCAATACAGGAGATACAACTACGTACAAAAAAAGAAACACAAGACTCAAACAAGGTACATGTTGAAGTTTTAAGGAATACTCACTTGTCAAATTCTGAATGCAACATGAGAGGAAAGAAGCAACATGTTAAAGACTTCTCTAACAATACCACAACATGAAAGTCAGCCTTGTTACAGACTTAACATGCCCCCCTACTTCCCTCCTTTTAGTCTTGGGTGATGATGAATGTGAGAAATGGTTTCAGTATCATTTGCTAAGAATCTAACAAAAACTTCAAGCAACGACTTGGATGCATCCCAAAGCCTCCTTCTCTCCCCCGTCATCCGTTTTCCTCCTGGCCCAAAATGAAAAGCTCAGGGGACAGATCTTTTTTCTCTCCATCAACAAAAATGGACACTTGCTGTTAAAGCAGTCTTATCAAAACTCAGTCCAATTAGGCCATCAAGCAAATTAGTAGCAATGTTAAAACTACGGGGGAAAAAAGCACTTCAAATACTGATTCTGAGCCATGCTGGCAGCTGCATACGCAATCACATACTGGAACAATTTTTTGCTGTGGCTAGCTGTATTTACACTACCAGGACTACAGGTCTATGAAATCATGACCATCAATTTCCAGGTCACAGAGGACAACGATGTGTAATCTTTTAAAAAGTACTCAATTTCCTAGAGCAGCTGGTCACTGTAGTTTTTAGTTATCATTACTTAAACATATGCTGATAGTGTATTTGTTGGGAACTATTTTTAGCCAGAGACTTGGTGCACTAGTGAGTATTTCTGGCAGCAGGACAGTGAATGTGGGATCGTCTCAAAATAAACTACAGAGTGTGTGTGTGATCTTGGTAATGAAGAAACATGTGATACAGTGCAACAGTGAGGCTCATTGATGCCTTTTTTAATAATCTCTGGACAATGGGGCTCTATAGTGAAGAGAATAAGCTACATCAGGCTATGGATGCACACACAATACTTACTAGTGTGATCAATTCATTGATGGCTTTGGTTTTTTCATGTAATTTGTTAACACTATGAAAATACTGAATATCACCACCATTATCCTTTAAATGTTTGCTTATGGCCTGGTGCTGTTCAAAGAATATCATTATAAAATCATGAATTGTGGAAATCACCTTCAATAACCAATGCAAAGTTTCACGAATTTTATCTCCTGTAAACGGTGTAAATGGAGAAACATCAAAAATACTGCTGTCTGATACAATCATCTTCATTAACAATGTTTAATCCCACTGACACCTGTGGGGCAATGTACCTGCTCTATAAGGTTTAGGACAGGTGGAGGAAAGTGATTTGTTCAATGACACTTCAGGACAGCTGACACTTAACTCACCACTGTTTGACAATTTCTTTTTTAATAATCGGTTGTTTATGTTCTTAGGTTTTAATTTTAAATATACTAAATCTTAACAGCTCTAAGCCACCCTAATAACCAAATCTGAAAAGGGTTTATGCAGTATTCACCAGGTAAACTTAAAGAATCTCTAAATACCTTTTTAATGCACTTATATTTAACACTCATTTCACAATAGTACAAGATATGAAAACAATCAATTAAAACCACTAGGGATGATACAGCTTAGAGTTATTTACCAAGTGCATGAATTTATTGACATTTATATCACATATAAACTCCTTTCCAGCTGTATATAACAATAGTTCCACAAATACTATCATTACCTAATCAACAACCACAACATGGATGGATTAATGGACAGAAGGATTAACCAGTTAAAAAAATAACCTACTTATCTATGAATATCCATATGAATTTCACATAAAAATCAGAGGTCTGGGAAAATAGAACTTTTTACTAAAAGCACATACTACAATATTTTCCGAATAACTGCCTATAGCAGGCTATAAAAATGAGACTTCTCTCAATTAAAAAACTTAAATGAAAATTAAACCAATGTTTTAGTAATACGTCTCAAAATCTGCATATACCCTGGAAGAAAAAGCCCAGGTTCACTGAGGTAACAGGGCCAATTTAAAGGACTTTACACTTGAAAATAACGTAGCACTTTCACTAAAAGGTCACAAATGTGTATTGACATTAGGAGAAGCCTGTCGTGTGAGATGTTGGTCATTAAAAGTCGGTTCAGAGCCCCCACAGAGCTGTCATCATCAGAAGGTGCGCCCTGCTAACCTTAACATTAGCCGTCTTTCATCATCTTCTAGCTAGGATGAAATACCTTCAGTTGATGGTTCGCAGTTCGGGAGACACCACAATAACCATGACTGTTTTAAAATGTATCACTAAATCATTAGTTTTTAATTTTCATGTTAATGTAAAATGTCACAGCCGGCCACTGAAGCCGGTGGCCGCGCGGCGTGACTGCCGCTCTGGGCAACGTTAGCGCTAGCAAGCTGCCCCATTCAGCTAGCCGCTTGCTAGCAACGGCTAACACAAGCCCTGTCCCTCAGTGTCCCTAAATCACTGAGTATCCGTTAATTTCCCAAAATGTCTTTCAAACAGAGTCTCTACACTAAAACCCGGACTGAAACCCCAGCTGTCAGACAACGTGGACGTTACTTACTGCTTCGTTTTTTTTGTCTTTTCGGAGCGAGACCAGGCCGGTGGATGAAACGCGTGTTTCTCCAGCCGTGAGTGACAACGGGAAGGAGGAAGAGGAGGAGGAGGAGGAGGAAGCAAAGAGCAGCAGTGACTGTGTGATCTTAGAGGGTGGGGGTGGGGGAGGGGGAGTTATGAATCATTAATGTTGCCACATGCCCCATGTTAAATCTCACGTATTGTTGACACTCAGTGATGTGGTAAAATGTGGATAAACTGTGACCTTCACTGCTGTTAATTACATTTATCTAAATATAACTGTGCAAAAATTAAATTTTAAGGACCATATCTGCCTTTCAACCTTTGTCCATGTAGGACAAGTTTTTACTGCTTATGACATTATTCTGGTCATTCTGTTGTAAAACTGATTTCGTACAAATCTTAAACCTGGTAATGCAGTGATAGATCAAGTAAGGCCAAGAAAGACTTTAAGCCCTTCATTCATTCTCTTAAAATAGAAAATAAATTCTTTTGTCCAGAAATTCTTTTTGTTAAACCTTTGAAGCCTTTGTTGTTACTGATCATGACTGTATAACTACCTATAAGATCTGGGTTGTTGATCGAGGCTAAACTAAAAGAAGTGAAAGTGAAACCTATTCAGTCACAGTTGTGATTGTGAATACTGTTCTGCAGCTTTCAATCATAAAACATGATATTCATCAGCACAAGTTCATGATTGACTGCTGGGCCCACTCCATAGGTTGAAGATAATTTGATATAATCAAAAGCTCCAGAACTGCTACACATATGTTTTTTTTAATCCCATGCTGATGTCATCAAATTTTTGGTTTTGTCCAACCAAAACCACCAAGTACATTCAATTTATAATATACAACAGAGAAAGCAGAAAATACCCACAATCCAGAAGTTTAACCAGCAAATATTTTTGCATTACTCAGCTAATTATCATTATCATGGTTGATGATGATTTAATCTAATTGTTTATGGTTTCTTTTCATTTATTTCACTGTTTCCAAGGTCATCAATTAACTTTGAATCTAAGATATGCTCACACAGCTCCTCAGCTTCCTGCTCTCACTTTTTTTTCTATTTGATCTGTGAATTGTATTATTATATTATATTATTATTATATTCTATTATTGTATCTGTGTAAAAATTTGAGCTTCCAAAGACCAGTTTATTTCAGGATCTCAACCTAAATAAGCAAATAAAAATAAGGCAATGCACAAAGTGATCCAGTTCACAGTACACTTTATGAAAGTCGATTCTACACACTTGGAATTGTAGATCATAAATATTTTTCTACACATTGTGCCACAAAAACCCAGCAACTATGGAAGCGACACTTGGGACAAAAACTATCACTGGAATGCAGCTGCACAACCACGATCACTCTTAAATGAATTCCAGATTTAAAGTTTTATGCTTCATTTGGCCAAATGTTAAATACTATATTTTAATATGATCAAATACATCCACACATTTAACTTCCATTCTCAAATTTGAAGTGTATACAAGTCATTTTGTTGGACTGATTGATGCTACTTAAGTCCCTCTCCACGTTACATAAGGTTCCTTCTGTGTTTGAACACTTAGCCTAACATGGCCTTCAATAAAACTTGATTAAAATGATTTCATTGTGAATATAATATCACAACTGTGGACATAATCAAATTTGGGTACCAACTTTCTTGCATTACTGCCACAATCCAAAAAATGAATTATTGCTGTGCATGTAAAAGTAGCCATTCTCTCAGATCACAGGGTCATGAGTAAATCATTTACTTGTCAATGTCATTGTTAAGATTAAGCCAATATTACTTTTTGCTCACAACAAATCCTTCCAGTCAGAGGCAAAAAAAGAAGAGAAGTATGAAATGCACTTGTTTAGTGGGAAATGAGGGAGAAGCAGAAATAAAAAGTCCTGTTTTGTCTCAGTGTTCCACGATGAGGTTGAGCCAAAAAAGGTCCATTTGTTGTTAGGCTTCACTTAAGTCTGATGAGCAGCTATTAAAAGGCAACCAGCAGCCGTCACTTTCTGCTTCCCGCTGCTGACTTTCGGCCGAGCTCCCTGGCTCGCTCCGTGGCTGATTCCACAGCGCTCATTGTTGTTGCCCTCATACCGCCTTGTTCCAGGGTGTGAAGCCCGTAAATGGTTGTTCCACCTGGGGTGCAGACGTCAGAGCGAAGCTGAGCTGGATGCTTCCCAGAGTCACGTAACAATCTCCCAGCACCCTGCAACACATGGCACCAAAATTAAATTAACATGGGTGATGATGGCATCAGTGATGAGTTACCACAACACATGTTATTGCATTGTGTTCAAAATAAATGTATTTTCAGTCTCTGGATTACAGGTAAAGCACCTTTGTTAAATCAATGGATGCAATTGTAACAATTACTATTCTGTTAGCAGTGGGGCCTGTATTTGGACTGATTTCCAGGCAGTGTTTCCCCTTCCGTTACCATTCACTTTTATTCATTCTCTTTTTTATCTGCGTCAGGCCAGAAAAACTAATATTGAAATATCAATTTTAAAAAACTTAATGTTCTTAGTGTGGAAGCACAATGTATGGACCCATCCTCATTAAGAAAAGTAAAACTGATGATGTTGCAAGAGTGAAACAAAAACACACACAAACACTGTAAAACCGACCAGAACAGTCTGAGATGCGATGCTTTGGGCCAGAGCACTGGGCATGCCCATCTTCACAGCTCCTTCTGCCAGCGCCTCAGCAAACAGATACACCTGCAGAGAAGGGTCACATGCATCAGAATATACACGTTGAAGCAAGTCCAACTTCTCTGTTGTTTCATAAAAAAATAATTCCAGACAGCCAATGCTTTTCTTTGATTTGCTTTTTAATTTTAATTTTTTAGAGGCTTGAGCTTCTGTTGCATGTCATTTCAAATCTCTTGCTCCTGTCATTTCCGGTCATCTCTCGACTGGCAGTTTTCAAACAAAGGGCACAAAATGCTCCAACATATAACAATCCATGTGACATATCTAAAAAAAAAAAAAGGGTTAATATTTGTTTGTTTTTTTTTTATTTGTTGGTGTTGCCTGTTCCACTGTGGTACAATAACCAGTACAATAAACTCTTGGTTAGTTTTAAGCACAAGTAAATATATGTCTGTAACTTTGTCTTTGACCTTGTATACTCATTTATAAAGTTTATATTTGTATTCTGTACAAGTCTCAGCAAAATGTTAAAAATGAGGACCACAGTTCCTAGAGTTTTATTGAACCATATACTGTATTTCATACATACACTTACATAAACATGGTTCACTGCGATTATGTAACACACGGAACATTCAAGTCCCTGCAAGTTGATTTCCATACAACAGTGAAAGGAGTTCAAAACAGACGTCACTTGCAAAAATCTAACACACTGCAGTTTGCTTTAAGACATGGATAGCAGGAATGTAAATGATCTGTGATTTAAAGTAATGTATGGGCTACAGTGTGTATTCATTGTGTATTAAATAATTAAATTACCGATATCTGTCATTTTACTTGAGAATTAAATAACAGGCTTGAATGATAATTAACTCTACTGAAGTCAGTTTGTATTCAAGTCCTGTTATAATAAGACTTCCTGTAAGCAAAAGGTCACTCACAAAAGCGACTCCACTCCCGCTCAATCCAGTATGGATGTCAATCCAGGTCTCAGGTCCCTCCTCCACCAAACCACAACGATGCAACAAGGAGCGAAGCAGAGCTCCGTCGTCCGGTTTCGCATGGGTTCCCCGTGCAAACAGTAGAGCCCCTTCCTGAACCATACACGGCAGATTTGGCATCAGCCGGATGACGACTGAATTCTCAGGAAGGAGCTTAGAATCCAAAAGACAGAGAAAAGGTTAAGAGGACTTCACATTATCACCGAACTGGCTTCTGTTGTAAACACCATTATATTTTAGCTTTGGCACCCACCTCCTCCAACGTTGCCAGTGTCACTCCTGCTGCAACAGACACAACTGTGTGTCTGTCAGTGACGTGCTGAGAGATCTCATTGAGAACGAGTGGAATCAAGTGAGGTTTGACTGCCACAAAGACCACATCTGAACCACACACCACCTCGATGTTGGAGTGAGTGACGGCAATCCCCAGCTCCTGGAAGCAAGTGGAGGAGATGTTACTGACCCACATGCAGAAACGGTCTCACACAATGAACCCGCACGCACGTACACGCACACACAGGTAAGACAAACAGTTCACCTTGCATTATGTGTCAAGAAATAAAGGAAGCAGAGCATCAAACTATTGGACAACTATGGAGCCCGGCAGGTGTTGTGGGTCATTTTGAACATACTTTGTGCAGAAGAATTAGTTATGTGTGTGCACAAATTTGTTCATTCTTTCGTGTCTTAATTAGTAATAGTTTAAATCTTGAAATAGGAGTTATGGGTGTACGTGTATGACACTGAAGCAGCGAAGCTTGTTTCACTCTTGAGGTGCACTGTTTCAACATATTAGTATATGATATGCACACATTCAGATAACTGAAAAAAAACGTTACACCTACAGGACTCCATAGCAACAGAGAAAGGTCAGCTTTACATTACAGCTGATGACACACACAGTAACCATGACCGTAACCACAACTGTTCACCCCTCCTGCAAACTAATCAGAAAAGTATAAGAGGAGGAAAAAGTACCTGAAAGCGTCCCAGGTTTCTGGAGGATGGCGCGCTCACACTGACGTTTACAGGAAGAACATTTCCTATAGAGGAAACATACAGTTAGATCATTAACTCCTTCACTTTAACTCTCTCTGCCTGCAATACTTTCTTTTTTTTTTTTGACTCACCGGACAAGATGCCCTTTGCAATGCCGAAGGCCATGTTCCCTGCACCAATGAAACCAATTTTCAGCTGTGTGTCCATCTCAGGGTCCATTTTGATCTGAAAAAATAAAAAATAAAAGCAGAAGAGAGATTAGAGCAAGAGTTTCAGAATGATCTAAAAACTAAGGGTGTGGACCTACAACACAATATGTTTCCCACAGTAACAACACAATCTCACAGTCTCACACATGTATACATATATAAGAGTCTGTTATATACACGAATATCGCAGGACAGTTAGAGATGCAACGATTAGTCAATTAATCAATTACTCAGTTGAGCAAAATTTTTAGTTATTTTTCCAGCAAAGATGTCAAAACTTCCTCTGGTTCCAGCTTCTCAAATGTGAGGATTTGATGCTTTTCTTTATCAGACATAATAATGAACCGGGCATCTTTTGGTTTTGGACCGCTGGTTGACTATAACAAGATATTTGATCGAATACATCACTTTTGCACGACAATAAATATATCCAGCATTTTTCACTATTTTCTGACATTTTATAGACAAAATAAAGAGTCGATGAAATAATCAGCAGATAATCGAACAATAATCATTAGCTGCAGCCCTACAGACGATCAATCATCTCCGACCAAGCCGTCTTTAACCAAAGCAAGAAAGCATCTTGGTAAAATCAATCCATGTTTACAGCACCACAGTAGATGTCACAAAACTTTAATAAATAAAGTATTGTGACAAAAAAATTACATAGTTTGGGAACTCCACATGACAAGAGACCACTGGGGTCAATGCATCAACACCATATGGCAACAGAGATGCATTGTGGTTGTCAACTTTGTTTACATGCACACACGAAACCTGATCACTGTGAGAAATCAGGTTAAGGCAAGAAATCAGATAACATGTTAAATCCCAGTTGACAGTTGGTCAGTAATCAGATTTTTTCCCCTCCCCCCCGATAACTGCTGCCACAGTTGCGTTTCAGTGTCCTTGGTTTTTTTTCTGTCATGCAACTGCATCTTTAACCCAGTTAAGACTTTACAGGGCCAAGAAACCAGCACAGTGACCAGTCAGTCTGACTGTAAATCAGATTTCTCCCTCGCTCTCATAACCTGATGATGTTTCTGGAAGCAGGACACTAGCAAAAGCTGGGAGTAATCAGACTTATGAAATGCATCTGTTGTGTAAAGTCGGCTCACAGATTTTGATAGTCAATGAATCATTTGTCGTGCTAAAATCCCAAAATGTGCTTTCCCAGCTTCTTAAATAAGAAAATTTACTGCTTTTCTCCATTTGGCATGATTGCAAATTGAACATATTTGTAGGCCCTGTTCAGATCTGGCATCTCAGGTAATCTGATCACAAGTGGACAGCTCATAGTACAGGTGTAAACACACCCACGATGCATTGAGAACACATTTGAGATATGATTTCGCAAACCCCATTTGGAGGTGGCCACATTCAACAGTGTGAACACAAATGCATCCTGAGCCACACTGAGGGCTCTCACTCTCTCTCTCTCCTCACTGACGACAGACCTGTCTGTCAGGGACTGGCTAGAAACAACAACCCATAATACAGAGCGAGGAAGTGCGATCCGCTAACAAGTGGTCACTTGAAACACATTTCAATGCCAGGTGTGGATTGAGGTGCTCAGAGCTGTCCACTTGTGATCAAACCACCCGAGACAGGTCTGAACAGTGCCTCACACCACATTCAGAGGTGGTCAAATGGGCCACATTGAAGGACTGCCCTCTGAACTGACATCCTCTGCCACACTTTCATAATCAACAGACAATATTTTACTATTTCAAATAGCCAAAACCTTATTTCATTGTAGAGCTCAGCCCCTCCTTGCCTCTCCCTCTCTCACACACACACACAAATACAACAGACCCGTCTGTCACCGACTGGCTAAACACAACCCATACGTGTATATTTGCATACAGAGCGGGAAAGTGAGATCTGATCACAAGTGGTCACTCGAGACGCATGTGGAGACGCATTTTAATGTCAGGTGTGGACCGACATACTTAGAGGTGTGGACTCACATGTTAATGCCGGGTCTGGTCTGAACAGGGCCTTTGAGTTTTCAGCTGTTGGTTGTCAGAGCAACTTGAAGATGTCACTTTGGGGACCCTGCGATGGGCCTTTTCTCTTTTATACACACTAATTGGCCGTGAAACAATAGCAGAAAAATACTATAATAATAAGCTGCACACCTAAAGATATGGCAATAAAACGTATTTAGATATTAGTACCAGTGTATTATGTGGTCATATGCTACTGTAGCAATTAATTGCGACACCCCTTCTTGAGAACAATTACAGTCGGCTGCCATTTTATTAGGTCCACCTAGTTAAAACTAATGCAATTAATACAACAGTCTACCTTTATATGAAGCTTGTATAATGTTCAGTCCTTAATTCTGCTGTTTCAGAGAGGTGCTGATTCAACTTCATGGTTATTTTGGAGGCTGCAGCTTGTGATGCTGCTGAATTGTCTTGTGTAAAATAATAGACATAAAATCTCAAGAGACGAATGGTTGATTTCTCAATTAGTCTATCAAGAGAAAACTAACAGGCATCTACTTAAATGTAATTTTTTGTAAAAATGCCAGACATCCACTGATTTCGGCTTCTCAAATCTGATTATGAGCTGGTTTTTCAAACACTTTGTTTCTTAATCAACTATTTTGATAATAGATTAATAATTCCAGGCATTTTTCATGCAAAAGGTACAAATATTCTCAAGTTTGAGGCGTGAATGAACAAATTTCTGAAATGCATACACAATAAACAGAGCTCAAAATCAGTCGACTTGCAAGTTCCAGCTTCTCAAATGTGAGGATTTGGCGCTTTACTTTATCATATGACAGTAAATTGAATATAATTGGCTTTTGGACTGTTGGTTGAACAAAACATTTTTTTGTTGTTGTTGTTCCTTTAAAAAACAAGACAAAAAACATTTTATAGACTACAGGGCCAAACGATTAATTTGGAAAATAATAGGCAGATTAATCAATAATAAAAAATAAAAGTTTCTTGCAGACCTTCTATAATCGTCATATATTTGGCTTTTGAACTGTCAGATAAAACTGACATCTGAATATGTCGGCCTGGACTGTATGAAATGATGGGCATTTTTGATTCATTTAGAATAAAAACAAGTGACAGCGATAGCCCATTCAACAGTACCACAACCTGCAGCCTCCAAGATGGTCATACAGCTCAATCAACTCCTCTACACCAAAAACACATTGCAGGTCTGTTGTATAGGATTGCATTAGCTTTAAGTGACTAATAAACTGGCAACTGAGAGTATATTCACAATACGACACACAGCTGGCGAACGAATGCGTGCATGCATCTAGACAACACACGAAAGAAAATGAAATCACAACTATGGTCTAATGACAGACGACATCGCATCCACTTTATCACCCCTACAATTAAATCCAGGTTCTGAGTGGTATTGTCCGGGCAGGGCTGCGGCCAGTGCAGTATCGATGCCTCTCCATCCGAGTCTTCAGTCACTTCATCATTCCTGTCAGAGTTCATCACCCCAGCTCCGACCAAAGGGTGTCTGGACTCCATGATAGCGATCATTGTCTTTTCATACCGCCACCAGCCCTGTATTTTAGTCGGGGCCGGGGAGTGCGGCTCCCTCTTGCACTTGTAGTACGCACTTTTGAGAAGTTTCCAGCGAAACTTCAACTGGTCCACGGATCTGTGATAGCCGGCCGCTGTCATTCTCCTGTGCGCCACCTTAAATAGTTTGTTATTCCTCACTTTCCTCCCGTCTAAACATTTCTTCATGTCCAGCTCCTTGAGAATTTCGAGAAATAACTCCGTCTCCTTCACGTCCCAGTTCTGCTTCTTTATACCAGAGTCGTCCATTGTTGTGGCAACGCTAACGCCGCCTGGTTAGCTCGACGGCGACAACCCGTTTAGCCCAACGGTAGAATCCTCACACGGCTAGGCGGCTAATTAGCATGTCTGATGTGGCAGGGCCAGAGCCGTGCAACTGCTAGCTAAAATCTTAGCCGTAATAACCTACGGGGTCGTGAAAACCGTGCCGATAAAATGTTAAAATCCTCTCGTTATAAACCACGATAGCCGAAAACTAGCCCCCCGCTAATGGTATCTAGCTAGGGATAGCGAGAAAATAATCCAGGACAGATTAGATTAGAAATACAATGCACGTGTTTCTTGTTGACTGGACAACCATAAAGTAACACGGAGTGACACAAACACGATGCCAGGCGATGCCGTGAATGACACCGGCTAACGTTGGCGGTGGTAGGATATTTATTCACCTGATGTTTTTCAGATTTGCAGATGTCCGGCGCTTTGTAAAGCTCAAAGTGCAGTTTTAATAAAAAACCGTGGGATTCACCCGTACCATCCAAAAACCAACCGGCTGAGTGTAAAGTGAACTATCGATGGGTTTGTTTTTGTTTTTTTACTGCTCCACCGCTGCATCAGGTGGGCGGCGCCTTCAGCATCCTCACCCACGCTGCCCATACAAACACCGCACCTTTCGCTCTCAGCCGTGAAACAAATCGAAGACACCGATTACTCAGCGTGATTCGATTGGCTGCCTCCTCCTCGTTCAGGGCGGAGAAACGGTGGGCGAAAAAAAATTTAGCTGTCATTCCAATCAGCTGTGTGAGGGAGACTCGGGATCAGCTTTTCTACCCCCTTGCAAACGACCATCCTGCAAAATTAAACAACAGGTACATGTTTAAATTGTGTGAATTTAATCCGGCATGCAGAAAAAGGTAAATTAATTCATTTTCAGGTTTTCAACTCTCATATATTTCTGTAAAAAGTGGGCACTGAGTGGTTTGAATGTGTTGAAATGTAAAGTTGGAAATGTTTTTTTCGCGTTTCCCATTTTCCAGAGGCGACGGTTCTGTGTCTTTCGTCTATTTAAATTTAATTTTCAATACTGTGTAAACGATGCCTTTATGCTTTTCAATGGGTACAGTGTAAGGGGCGATTGTGCAGAAGAGCAGACATGCCTGGGCAAGTCTCAGTGTGGTCTTCATTCAAACATGTGAATGAATGAATGAACAGCTATGCCCAGCTCTCTCCAGCTTAACAGACACCAAAAATTCATAGACACCAGATTTAAAATGCTACATATACATTTTAAAGAATCATCCAAACACACACATCAGCTCTGTTGATGTCACCATCTAGTGACATGCCTTCAAGTTTAGTTATTTTAAATTTAGGAGTAGGAGATGTATAGTGTCTAGTAGTTAAACATTTTAACTGTACATTATTGTATATTCATAGATACTAGATTTTTTAATGACAGAATATGATTATATGGATTTTTAAAAAGGCAACTTAACTTTTTGCTAGAAAAACAAACATTGGTTTCTTTCTCCTTAAACATGTCTCCTGCAAGTTAAAGCTGCATTTTGGAGATCCTAATATTGAGATATCAGATGGTGATTGGCAAAAAAACATGTGTAAGAGACATTGTCACACATACACCAGTTCACAGTCATGGAGAAAAGTCTAAAGGTAAGCAATTACATCCTGTAGATCATAGATATGTTTTTGAGAGTGTGGATCATTGGATGTAGATCACTTATAGATATTTTAGGAAAAGTCAGAAAATACAGTCACTGCTTCAGGAAACTGTAAAGCAAGTACTAGAATATAAAGGTCCTCTGAGTTGTATTTTTATTTTTTGTACTTTTTTTTTTTTCCTCCAGAGACTGAGCAGCAGATATTTGGTTAAAGTATTGTTAATAGCTAGTAAAAAAATAATAATAAAGAATTGGAAAACAACTCCCCTACACATTAACAATGGTTAGCAATTGTTAAAAAAAAGTATAATGGAATAACTGACACATATTGAGACTATAAGACGCATACCTTAAGAAAAAGGGTGAAAAAGTCAACTGCAACATCAAAATGGAGTCACAACAGGACTGAATAACTGATAGAAAAATATGAATCTATTAAACCACCAGGTTTCTTTTATTTATTGTTAATTTGTTGCCAATGAAGATTAAATGGAAAACAAACTCAGCTCACCATGTATTCTTATCGTGTTCTCCTACAGATATGGGCCATCTCCTGATCCACCAACACCACCAGTGTCTCCTTCTGATCATCACTCTGGCCTGTCAGTGTCCCTCAGTCACTGGGCTGTTTGAATGGCTGAGGCAGACAGAGGCTCCTCCAGCTGCAGCAGCTCCACCACCAGCAACTGTAGCTCCAGCAATTCTTGCAAAGGATGCAAAGTTTGAAATGGCTACTGTAGATGAAAAGTTTCTGGCTGAGGCGAAGCAGATGGAGCTCAGCCCGCTGGACAGCTGTCATCACAGGGTAAAAATGTACCTTTACACTCAGGCCTTTTCATTATCAATTAATCTGCCAATTATATGTGTGTGTCAAAAGTCAAAGTAAAGAAGAATGTCCATAAATTTCACCAAATGTCTGGCCAATTAATTTCCTGGTGAATTAGTCGACTAATCAATGCAGCTCTAACAGACTGCTGTAAAGCTTTGAGATTAAACTAGAAATGGAAATAGTCAGGACTTTGTTCCACTCATGGGGTCGGAATAGAGTTGGTACACTTCCATTGCTTTGTCCGTCACGTCTGAAAACAGCGCTGTGTTCTGTCAGGTGGTCGCCCGACTGAAGGCGAGCTGTGAAAGCCTCTCAGAGGAGCAGCTTGCAAAGCTCGGAGTGGTTCTGTTTAACTGCCAGGCGGAGATTGAGGGCCGGCAGTCCTACACATGTACAGATGAGATGGTAAGGATTTTTTTTACTTTAATAATATTATATTGTATAAATTATTTTCCCCAGATGATGTGTGTTGATATAGTTTGATGTTTCAGTCTATTAAAGAGTGCACAGCAGACATGGACTCAGACACATGGAATGCTTACCACATAGTGAGCAACCGAGCTCGCTCCGTTTGCTACGCAACTCGCCAGCAGCTCTTTCGGCGCAGAGCGGAGCACACGGTCAACGCCCTCATCTCCACAGCCACCAGCCAGCTAGACGCCATGAAGGAACTGAAGGTAGAGTTGAGTTATCTTTTTTTTGCTTTTTAATCTTCATATGCACAGTTTGTTCTCTGTGATTATTTGGCTTTTGATTGTGGTGTTTTAAAAACAGGAGGGCCAGCTGGAGTTGAGGGAACTGACGGCAGCCTCCTTGGACAAGCTGCTGGAGGGCCACAGTGCGCTGCAGGCCCAGCAGGGTAAACTGTATGAAGGCCAGGGGCAAATGGAGAGTTCGCTGAAGGACAACCTGGAGCGTCTGGGTCAGGAGAAGGCCCTCATTGCCTCTGGGCAGGAGCTGGTAGCCCAGCTCATTCAGGGCATTACAAATAGAATGGGTGAGTGCTATTCGACTAAAAGCACTCCATGTAAACAGCTGATATCTCAGTCATCAAGTCTGAAATATATTTATCTTCCTGTCCTCCGTTTTAGAGAACGTGAGTGAGCATCTGCAGATTCAAGGCTCAGAGGTGCAGGACAACCACAAGGCGATTGTGAAGGACCTCGCAGATGTCAGGCACCAAGCTCATGACATCTACCAAAAAATTGGTAATAAAACCAAAGCATCACAAACTAAAGTCATCACACGATTTCTCAATTTGTAGCTAATGTCAGTGCTGTCTTCCCCTCAGACCACAGTATAGTGGAGTTTCTGCAGTACCAGGACCAGACCTCCCAGTACTACACTGACCTGATGAACAAACTGGAGCGCATGAACAGCACGCTGGGAGTCATGCTGCACTACATCGACAACATGCAGAGCCGGATGGAGGAGAGGCTTCACATGATCCAGGGATACCTCAGCTGGGCAGGTGAGACGCACAATGAAAATAATAAAGTTTGTTCACCTATTTATAGTTTAGACCTTTTTATTCTTTTTCTTTTTTTTCTGCTGCAAAAAAATTTGGAAAACATTTTTGGTCATTTAACATTTATATAAATAAAATCAGCAACATTTACAAAAAACAAAACAATGTCTGTCATCTTAATTCTTTTTTGCAAATCAAATTTGGACAATATAACATATCAGTGAATTTTAGGATGGTTGATTTACATTTTATGAAACTTAAGGAGGAAATGTAATTCAATAAATAACTTTTTAAAAGCTGTGAATATCTTGTATTGATTTTAAAATAATGAATATTACCATGGTGTTTGTTTCACTAAAAACACATTTAGGAAAAAGGTAAAAAAAAAAAAAAAAAAGTGAATGAATTTAATTTTAAACTAGTATCCTGATTATCGAGATTGCAATATGGCCGAGTACAATATCCAAATTTTATCCACTTGTAATTGTTTGGTATAAGACTCAAAAAATTACGTCATTATCATGTTCATATTTTTTTTTCACTGAAAATGAAAAACTTTCCATTCCAACTGAAATCCTCACATCACAACCTGTGTATCTGCCAAAGTAGTCACAATATGACTTTTGCATATCATAAAAATTTAGTTTCATTGCTCATAAACACAGGTGAAAATATTATGGTAATTGACTCAACAGTCAGTATCCTTCACCTCATCAGTGAGACATCCTGAAAAGATTGTCTATTCCTCATCATGGGTCAGTGACTGTCCGTTACTTCTTGTGCTTACAGGTTTGAGTCTGTCGGCCATGTGGACGTGTATTGCACATACTGGCTACTTCGTGCTGTGTGCAGTGCTGCTGACGTTCCTGCGTTGTCCAGGTTTCTCTCGAGCGATGCTGCTGCTCACCGTGCCTCTCAATGCAGTGGCCGAGGTCAACCAGCTGCCAGTGCTGGATCTCTGCAGCCTCAGCCTGCTGCTGCTCACTCTGTCTCTGGGTACGGACATAAAGCTGCTCACAAGGCAAATAGGATGCCACCGTTATTCTCATGCATCGGTCACAGTGTTTTCTTTCATATGTGCAGGTCACTGGTTTGTGAATCAGTTGTGGGCGTGTTTCAAGATCAGAGGAAAGCCAGCCGTCCCACTCCCGCTGCCTCCGGCTCCATGTGACATCGTGGAGCCGCAGAAGCAGCATGTTTCATCCTGCCACTCATATCCACCATCCTCTACACCACAGAAGTAAGTCTGCAGAAAAAGCTGCAACTGATGACTATTTTCATTAAACCTGACATGAAACCTTCTTTCACTGGTTGTTATGTCTTTAAAATTTCTGAAAATTGTTAAAAAATGCCTGGTGTAATTTCAGTCCAGAACCCCAGGTGGCGTCTTCAAAATGTCTTATCTTGTGCAACCAACAGTCCATTATTGAATATGCAAGTACCAGCAAATGCTTGTTTTTTGTTTGTTTTTTTTACTTAAAATTTATCCAATTAATTTTGTTGATCGACTAAACAAGTGATGCCTCAACAGGACTGAAATTTTAGCAGCTGAAAGTTTGGTATAGTTGTCTATAGCAAATGAACTAAAGATTGATTATAGTGAAGCTGTGGATCAAGTAATTATTATTCTTTTAAATGATTGAGAAAATATGTTCATGCTTTGTAGTTGGGCTATTTGATGCAGTCTGTTCTTTTATCCTCAGAGATGAAAAAGATGGCTTCATGGAGCAGGATGACCTGCTGAATCAGGAAAGCTTCATATCAGGTGTGACTTATATACATAATATATTGTACCTTAGCGGTGAAATGTTGTAGAAATAACTCCATTGGTGTTTTACTGATTGTTCTCATTCATGTCTCTGTATTCAGGCGACCTCGGCATATCAGCAGTGTCTCCCCTTCACAGGAAGCCGATACCAGAGTCCAGGTTCATGCCAGTAATTGGCACACCCAGTCACTCCACCCCAAGGCTCATACCACAGCCAATTCTGTCATTGGTGAGCAAATCAGTGAATGTCACAGGAAACTCTTAAAATGAATCATTCATACACGTGATTGCAAATCTTGTGGTTTTTAATTTTTTAGGCTCTGACTGATGATATACCGCCCAGAAACCTGGGAGGAGTTTTTGATGCAGTGAACGACTCCCGTGATTTAATGAATGACTCAAGAAGTGCGAGTCCTACCCCATCACTAGTTAGTAACAGGTCAGTGTTTTTACACTTCAGTCTTCAGATAAACTTAAGATATTAAGTCAAGTTTTTCATTACTTTTTTTTCTGAATTGGTTCTTCACAATAAACTGATCATGAATTTCTTCTTTTTCTGTTCATTTTTCCTGCGGCAGCTCCCTGTCAGGACGTCAGCTGTGTAACGGAATCACAAAAACAAGGAAGGCCTGTAAGAAGAGAGCCGTGCCGGGACAGGAGTACTGCAGAGTCCACGAAGGGGGGCACACCTCCTACATTCATTCCTGAAAATGCTCAGCTTCCCTTCTCAGCTCGTTTAACTGTTTTCTTTGTTTTAGAGACTTTTATGCAAAAGTGAACTGTTACTGTGTCTTTGTTGTTAAGCTCTGTCTGCTTTGCTAAACAGGCGCTGTGCTTGCAGATTTTTTAAATTGTACTTTTATATTCTTATTTCCATGTCTTAAATGTTCATTTTAAGTTAATAAATTATTTCTTTACCTGTGAATCTGTCTGTACAAGTTCCAAAAGCTGAATTCAATTATGAAGTTGTCTTTAGATTTTATCTTCCTGCGAAACATGAAAACCTACAATATCTCAAAAACGGTATAAAATATTTATTTCGTTCAGTGCCAGCATACTGAATAAAAAAACCTAGTCACCAATTAAACAGCACACACCATAACCGCCATCGTGGACATTTAAATAAAGTGAATCAAGGCAGAGTCGTTTAACTTCCAAAATGCAAAACCCCTCAATAATAAAAGTAATTCAGTAATACAATTTGTATTGCTGAAAAAGGTTTACACTAAATTAGACAGTTACTGAAATTAGCACCAGCACCTGGATTCCAAGATTGAAGCAGCCAATTAACAAAATGATTAACACTACCATAGTGTATAAGACTCTGGAAATTCTACATACAGGTAGTAGAATATGATGCCTACAAGTACAGGAAAATGCTTATTATACCTAAAGAGAAAAAAGTCTGCAGCAACATAAAACGGTATGGTGCTGCAGACATGGGTTTAAGGTGCGACACCAAGTCCAGCTCACTGAGTGCAAAGACCGGAGTAACAGAACACCCTGTTTTCTTCTAGCCCACTCTCGCCCACTCTCTCTCTGGCATCACCATGATCTCCCCTATTCATCTTCTCTTCCATCAGTAGACTTTGTGCCGACTTGAAGCAGTGAGTTGTGCGTTTTCACTTGCGTGCGGTGTCATAATTGGCAACAAACCAATCACAGGTTTCCTTTAAAGCTGTAAGTGAGAACAAGATGAATCAGTGAAGACAAATGACAGATGTAATCACAAAACATATATCCTGTCATTTACATTAAAAAAATCCTCATCCAAACAGCTGGACACGCAGGAATTTAATGAGCTAGTCCCACCTTGTTTGAAGGGCGTGAAGGTGAAGTCTGGCAGGTAGTGGCACAGCTTTGCATTGCTGGCCGTCTTTTTGAATTGGCCATCTGCTTTACTGGTATCATACTACAGGTCTGAGGTCAAGGAAACCACCAGAAACTATAATAAGTGCATAGTTTAACAGTGCCAACCATTTTCCATGGAAAAAAAAAAAAAAGTCTTGAGATTTCTTACCTTTGAGGCAGCTATTACTTATAAATCATTTCAGTGGTGTCTAGAAATCAAATTCAGATTTGTAGCTTTGTTGAGATGGTAATCAGTCACAGTGTACAACCCACAGCCTTCGCATTTTATGTCAAAAATTCCATAATTTATGTATTTGTTTGATTATGACAATTTTATGTCACATATTTGATACTTTTATTACCCGTAGATAATTTGTCAAGTCTCAGCAGATGGGTTTTATAGCAGACTGAAATTGGCTGAAAACATTGGCTGCCTGGAAGCCAGTAAATCAATCTTAAAATTCACACAATGTGCTTTGGACAGTTTTTCCTGTCCAGTTTACAGAGTTATTTGAAAAACTTTGCTGAGTAGAAAACCAGACCAGCCTGAAATCTGGAGCATAGACTGATGTAAAAATCCCTGATCCAGGTAAAAGAGCTCAAACACTTCAGTTATCAGTGAACTTGCATGATTAAAAGGATACTACAACTTCTCCATTGAAGCCCAAAGCCTGGACAACTGCTTCTGCTGCTTCTTTGATGGACACTTCGTCTTCCTCTCCAACTGCAACCGACAGACACAACACAGTGATTACACTTGATAAAAATTCAGCTTCAGTATCAATATCGTCACTGTGTTGTGTATGATGACTCACCAGAGAGAATGATTGGATCAACCTCTGGATACTCTCTCAGCACCCACAGGAAGAGACGAGCCAAGTCCAAAGAGTAAATGAACTGCCTTCTGGGAGTGCCAGAGCCCCAGACCACCAAGGGCTTCCCTTCCTCTAACCAACAAAACAACAAGCAGAGGCAGAAAAAAAGTTAATCATTATTCTTTATTGCCAGCTCACAGGGATACACCAGCCCAACACATGGAATCAAATTAGTGTCAACACTGGCCAGATCAACATTAAATACAATGTCTTCAGTCAATGTCATTCATAAATGGTAAAAATGCAATTTAAACATTTAAAATAATAATAATTCAATTTCCCTCGTGAAAATGAATTGGATTTGTTTGGTGCCTTGCTACTTACCCACCACGTATGAGAATGTGACTTACTTTGAGCGATGTAAGCTTTGTGGATGAGGCCTGGCAGCACGTGACCATCCTCAATGCTGAAGTTGTCATGAGGACCAAACACATTGGTGGGAATCACAGCTGTATAACAGCGCCCGTGCTGCTGGAGATACGCCCTGTGAAACATACACAACATAACTCAGCAAACACTTCTAATTCATGTGATTAGACAACTAGCTAGATTTATTTGATTGATTTCACAGGAAAAAAAAAACAACTGACTGAGTTCACATACCTGTTGTGAACATCAATCATTCTCTTTGCGTAGGCATAGCCAAAGTTTGACTCATGAGGTGGACCATTATGGATCTGGTGCAAAGACAGTAAAGTGAAGTTAGTTGCCATTTACAAAACAACACACATGGTGGCAAAAGTGTGAATTTAAGAGGTTCTCACCATGGTCTCGTCGATAGGATAGGTGGTCTTATCTGGAAAGATGCAGGTGGACAGGCATGACACCACCTTCACGGCACCCACTTCATGTGCTGCCTGCAGCACGTTGTCATTGATGTAGATATTGTTCCTCTGGAGGACACAGAAAATAACTGTCAGAATATTGGACAAACATAACACAAATCCACCGTCAGCAAAATGCTGCACGAGCCTTACTGGTTTATTAGCAGTGATAGCAGAAGAGCAACTGCCTCATACCCAAAAATCCAGGTTGTACTTCATATTCTTGAAAAGCCCTCCAACCATAGCAGCCAGATGGATGACATGAGTTGGCCGATGTTTCTCAAATACTGCCCGTGTCTCCTCCATGTTCCTGAGGAGAGGTCATACACTGCATGAAAACAGTCTCTGAATTGTTTTTGAGTTTGTAAGTACCAAAACATGTGTTTACATATTGGTGGTATTTAGAAGAGGTGTAGCTCTCACATGAGGTTGGCATCTTTCGAGGAGAGGAATATCCATTCTTCCCCATCCTTGGCTCCCCTCTCCTCTTTGACCACATGCTGTATGGCCCTGCCCACCAAGCCAGACCCTCCTGTCACCAACACCCTCATTGGAGTGGTGTGATTGCCCTGACCATTCATCTAGAAAAAGCAAAGCACAAAAATGCTTACTGGAACATAAGCATAGTACATAAATAAACAGGATACCATAATGATAATAATAATGATGACTTTATATAGCACTTCCTCTGGTAGGCTCTTCCATAATTATACCATAAATAATACCACAGAGAATATGGTAACTTGTACACATTCATACTGGTTGACGAATGATGGAGAACAAACATCAAGTCCTACAATTAGTTATTAAAACGTGAATTTATTGACATTTATATCACAGCTTTGTAAGTACTTCCAAGCTTTATAAAACAACAATTCCAAGCAACATAATTAATCAAGTATTGTAACATTGACCCATGGATTACTGAACAGGTCTTAAGGGACACAGGTCCAGGGGCTCCTGACCTTTTGGGTATGAAGTGACTGTTAGTATTTCTTATTTGAAAGTCACAGAGCTCAGTTAGAAAACTACAAAGACAGGAAAAACCGTCTGAGAGAGAAACAAAATGACCAGAAAAGAGGCAAAACTACATCTAACCACAGCCGTGTCATTTGTAGTCATTCTGTGTATTTTTCAGTCTGGGAGTCCTATATAGGAGCCTGTTGTCTCATCTATCTGTCCGTGCCTGCCTGGACCCAGATAAGAACTGATAGATGGCTAATAATAATAATAATAATAATAATAATAATAATAATAATTTGTAGATTTAAGTTCTTTGCTAAAATCAAGAGTTGTCCATTATGAGATGATGAGCTTCCCATCAACTTTCATGTTATAATAAAATACTTTTGTAAACAAACCTATATTATTATTATTATTATTATTATTATTATTATTATTATCATCATTTTCATTCTTCTTATTATTATAGGGAAGCTGAATACAGTGCATATACCCCGAGTTAATAACACAACAGTTATGACTCACTGACATCCGTCTACAGGTGGATGTGATGCGGCTTAATGCCACGTCGCACGTCATTTGCCTGAAAGCTCAGGTAAATAACGTTGCATTTATCGGCTCTCTCTCTCTCTCTCTCTCTCTCTCTCTCTCTCNTAAAAGCCATTACAATACATTTTATTACGAAGGAAAAAAGAGCATTTCACAAATAAAGGAAGTTGGCTAGGTAACTATATCAAGTCTGACAAATAACTAACGTCCTGTAGCTAATTGGCTGTAGCTTACCTCTGCTTCTGGGTAAAGTTTAATAACGATATCCACAGGTTACTTGTTACCTACTTGTCTTCATGGTAACTAGTCTACAAAGCACTATGTTGTGATATGCAAAGCTAGCCACACAAGCTAACGCTACTAGCCAAAGTTGGTGTTAGCTAGCAGGTAACCGCCGTCTCTTTCATTCCTTTCAGTGAGTGTTATGTTAACGTAGCTAACTAAGGGCAGTAAAGTGACGTTAACTCTGAGCTAACGAAATATGTAAAGTAGATGTTTCTCACCAGGTAGCTGTAAAGTGCAGAGCCCGTAGGCAGAGACAGGAGACAAGCCGCTGTCAAAGTACATCAAATCTTAAATTCCGCTTCCGGTCATAACCTTCAAATTAAAGGTTCATGGACGAAGATTGGGTTGCTGTCATGAGTGGATAAAAATATGTTTTTAAACCTAAAAATACATTTAATAATTATTTTTGATTGATACAAGTTCAGACTTTTACTTCTACAACTGATTATTTTGTGCTCGAACAATGTGTTTGTCTTTTTTTAATTATCAAATAGAAAGTGATCAGATATGTAGTATTTGTATTACTGTACCCTAGGGACAATTATTTTTTATTCATCACTGGCCCTTAGTG